TCAAGGATGCAACTGGCATCTCTGGTATGGAAGGTCTCATCGCTCCTCCTAAGATTCAGTCCTGGTGTGCGGAAACCATTGCTTTCCTTACCGCCAAACACATGATCCAAGATCAATCCCTAAACAAACCAACATGACTCTCTTCAAACCTAAGAAGTGCTCTGCCAATTTCAGACATAGGTCTGAAATACTCCTTTGCAATCCGTTGTTGTTTAGTGTATGCTGTACGCAGCTTTTGCCTCAGCCTCAACTTCTTCTCAACTAAAACGCGTAACACTGGGCTGTTCAAAGGTCGTTCTTTGTTTGCTTCTTGTCTGCTCTTAAGATAGATGTTTCAAGGCATGAGAGAGGATATAAGCACATGCACACTGGGGAGGAGAGAGAAAAAAAAAAAAGGTGTCCAGGTGTTTAAGCAATGCCAAATGCGAAAGAATTCCAATTCACCGCTTTCTCCTTTAATCTGGCAATTCCAAGGGACCAAGCGTGTCACGACTTGTACCCAGAACACTTTCCGCTCGGGTGAGTTCAGACAAGGTCTGCATTAACTCCCCAACCTGCAAGAAAATTATTTGAAACAAAAGGTTCAGATATGTCCCTTTCCCTCCAACAAGCCTGGAAACAAATGGTACAGGAATGAGGTCAGAAAGGAATCATCCGCCTACCATACTGCTGAATTCATTTACCTACCTCAGAGCCCATTCAAGGAAAGGGGTGGGATGGGGAACAAGGGATGATATAAAGCAGAATGAAGCTCTGGGGTCGCTTGCTACATTACAAGATTTGACAGGCCTTTGCCAGCCTTCAGCTTCTTTGTGTCTTTTACATAATAGAGAAACACAAACTGAGCAGCCTGTGATCTGGGGGTTGCACTATTAGACGGAGCAAACCCTTTGCAAATGCTAATAGTATTGTAGCATCCTGTCAGGCAGCAACACAAAAAAGGATGTTGATTTTCACATGAACCAGAACAGGCTCATTGTAAGGAAGGTTGCAATGAATGTTCCATCTCTAAACATCAAAAGCCATAGGCAATTGGCTTGTGGTCATGAGGCAAAATACTGCTTCAAATGTTCTTAAATATAGGGGGCGTACTGTTACCTTAATGCTTATTTCATGAGGCTAGCAAAGAGAGAACAATTGCTTGAAATGGAAGTGAAAATGATCTTTGGTTATGACTTCTGTAGTGAAATAATTTCTAGATCTAAAGAGGCTTTTGTTGTGCAATCTACTGTATTCTAGCAGTCTGGAAGAGATGCTCCTTTAGGAAACATGAATGTGCAGATTCAGTCAAGGGTAGTTTATGTCATTTCCAAACGGTAAGGTTGATAGTAGTAGAGCACAAACAGAATGTGCTTGTCCTTTGCTGTTCTAAGGATGTGGCAGCTGTCAGTCTTGTCCAGTGATGCCCAGCTCTTTCCTGAAAAAAGCCGCTAAAATGCTAAAGATGATACAACACTTCAGCTATTTCTGTTATAAAACTTATTATAAAATACCCTTTTAATTCAAACTTCACATCTTCCCCTCTATTAGGAATGGTATAATCCAAGGTGTTAATAAATGCACCACTCTGATTAACCTTCAAAAGGTTCATCATTGTCCTTTGGGTGAAAAACTTGAACAAATCTCATCTTGTTGGTTGTCACTACCAAGGATAGTTCAGAAATCCATTTTAAAGTCAGAATGTGAAATCACCACACAGGTTAGGATGCACTGCTCTAGAAGCCCTCTTAGACCCTACAGACTTCCAACAGCAGCAAATAAACAGCCTTCTGTCAGTGTTTTGCAACACAAACACACAACCATTTGTAGCTTTGCACAGTAAACAGCTTTTCAGCACAAACGGCTAGAAATACTTCTGGAATTGGCTCTAGAACAGCACCTAGAACCAATTCCAGAACAGCCCCACAGCCAGTGGCAGGCTCATTTCTGGATTCATCTCCAGAACCCCACTGAGAGTCAATTCAAGAAACACTACGATAGCTGCTACACTCAACTCAGCCTTATTGCCACAATCACTGCTAGAGCCACTTCTGGAAACATTTCCCCACTGACTGATGGCACCAACCCAAGAAACTTCTCTAGAGTCAACTTCAGAAACGTTTCTAGAACAGTTTCTGAGGTTGGCTCTAGAGCTGTTTCACAAGGCATTCCAGAAGCACTTTCAGAACTATTTCCCGAATCACTTCTACAGTCAAAACTAAAATCATGCCTGTGATTTTTAGCATTTCTTACAGAACAACAGCTTGGATAATTTCACCTTCTGATGTGCTACAGCACTGAGGTGATGGCAGATGCAAGCAAGATTTGTGTGCACAGAAATCTGCATGGGTTTTCCATTCCAGCACCGCAGCATAAACAATCATTACAATCTCTGTATCCTTTCAGCTTCTTCCCTTTGTTTCTGTACAGTATTTTATACTGAAAAATTCTTGATGACAGCCTTGTACTGTAAAAGCTCTGTGAACACAGCCATATAGAACATATAGCACTTTTGACAAACTACAGTTTTAAGAGTTATCTGACTACATAGGACCTATCTTGCAAGGGCTTTACAATGCATTTTATTTATCTTACTGAATAAAAACTAGCAAGTGATCAATCATGGTCTGTAAAGATTTCCGCAAGGGAAGATGGATTACTGAACTAATTACAAAATAGAACAGGATCCAATAGCTCTAAACTGACATAAAAAATAAAATAAAATAAGCAAGTGCCTTGGAGATGGTAAATCACTGCAAGGGCATCCTATCAAGTAAAGTGATAGAATCTTTCAAGATTTAAGATTGCTTGAAACCTTCATGTCAAGATGAAAGTAGTTTGTTTTTTTTTTCCTTTAAGACAATTATTAAGATCTATAGAACAATATATTTATTTTAATTATGCAGGTGATCAGAGAGTGTTCATAAAACGCCTCCTAACCTGGAAATCAAGCATCAAGAACCATGTCTGTACACAAGACAGCAGTAACTGGAAATACAGTCAGGCTAGCATGGTAGTTTGTTATCAGAACTGTAGTCAAACCTCTACTTTCTCTCCAGGCTTTGGAAACGGGCAGGTTTCTACTTCTCAGTCAATGGACTTCTCTAGTCAGATGCTTCCTGAGGAAATGAAAGTAAAAGGAAGATACTGGAAGCTACTTTATTAGCTGCTGTTTTTTCAGACAGCCATACATGCTAAGTTCTTGTGAGGTACCCCAATATCTGAGTAATCTTCACCACCGCACATCCCATCCGTGTGAGGAAGCATGACTGGAACTAAAGCACCTCAAGACCTAGAAACACATTCCAAATAGTCAAAGAAAACTCGCGCTGCAACTCTGCAAAAACACAGGGGTATCATCACAGACCCAGTTCATATGGCAACACCTTCACTGAGATAAAAATATCCCACAGACATGAGAGAGAACAAAGAGTTCTAACTGACTCAAGGGGCCCTGGGTCAGACTTAGAGATCCCATATTTCAACATTTCTCAACTGAAGTGATGAAATCTCTTGCATCTTTTTTAATACAATTGTTAGGAGTTACTAAGTTACATTTAAGATACACAAAAATTAAATTATCTAAACTTTAGCTTTGGAAATACATCATAACTCGGTTTAGGTTCAAAATATACTCAGTCAAAAAATTCATTAATATATCCTTGATGGTGAAATAGAGCATATCAGTACATTTGTAGTAACAAAGAACTTCACTTGACATTTTCACCCTCTAACTTAACTACGCTTGCTTTTGACACTTTTACACATTTCCAAGTTTTTCATCTCTCTGATAACTTAGGATGAGGTTACTAGTAACCATTCAGAAGGAATAATTCTTGACATTTGAAAAAGCACCACTTGTACCTTTTTCATGAAGAAGCGACAGAAAAACCCTTGGCCATTAATATTTAAACCTTGGCTCATAAACCTCTCATTTCACGAAAAACAGAAATATCTTACCATATCTACATGACAGTAAAGAACATGCTTTGGAAATGAAATATCCATTTATGGAGTAATATCTGCATTTGCTAATCCCCTCCCTAATTTCAAAAAGCCACAGAAATTACAGATTAGTCTTTGCTCCTTACAATAAATTGCTTTATGCAGAATCTGAAGGTAGTACATGTAATACAGAAAAATATCCTGAACTTGTGCAAAACAGTTTGGAATAACATACTTTTCAGTATCACATGAATTTTAAAGACAGTTCAAATAATCGTGTTTACTATCTAAAAATTGTTGTAGTAGTCAGCACATCCTTCTTATGCTGCTTAACATGACTACAGCTAACTATCTAGTAAGATACTCCTTACAAGGAGCAACTCTGAAGTGGCCAACTGATAGCACTTATTAAGCCCATTTTTACTTTTGTTAAGTGATGCTAACTTACTAGTAAGATAAGCACAACTTGCCATAACTCTTCTTTCCTCTACCTTAACATAAAATCCTATTAAAAAAAAAAAGCATAAAATTACCTGTTGCTTATTTGTCAAGACCATTTTTGGTTAGTTTAATCATGAAATCAAGTTAATGTAGAGTTATAATCCTTCACTGATCCTAACGTGCCCATGTCTGCAATTTAAGCTTTGTGGTGCAAATATGCAGCACCTTCAATACCACGGTTTTACAGTGCATTTTTACAGTGCTTTTTTTTTTTCCAATTGATTTTGTAAAATTTTTCTTCATCTAAAAGAAAAAGAAAAAAGAAAAAAGAAAAAGATATACTCCTGAATTCATGGGTTGGTAAGCTGACTGCTCCGTAATTCTCAAACCCATTGTCCCAGTAAGCATGTTTTTTTTAAATGCACCTGAAACTAACACTCCATAACCAGTCTTCATTTATACTTTGAGTATCAGTTCATTATCTAAACTTCCAGAGAGATAAGCTTTCAACATAATGATTTTTCATAAGACATCTTTGTCTAAATGTATTACATAAATGGTAAGGTAATCACTGATTTATATAGTAAAAGATAACAGTACAGTTACCACTAACTTGATGCTGACACAACAGTTCCGAATCAGACATTTTAATATCATTAACAGTATACTTTTTCACAATTTAACAAATGAGAAAAAGAAGGCCAAAGTGACTTCTGAATTAGGTGCAATAGCACTGTGTTCAAAACCCACATTTTATTATTCCTTCAGTTACATTTTTATTCAATAAATACCTAGTTTTCATGGAATACATCATGCTAAGTCTTAGATGAGCAGCACAGAGAAGTTGGAACTAAAACTATAGGAACATCACACTAAAAGAGATGAACGCTGGGCCACTGGATGCGATATTTTGCAACATTTACATTACACAGAAGTTTCAAACAGTGATCTCTAGGTAAATGCAAAAGTTCTTTTTTTTTGTTGTTTTGTTTTTTTGTTTGTTTTTTACAAAGAGGGATTTAACCCCAGTACAGACTTATCTCCCTTGCTATACAACCTAAGGACTCTACCTTCAGAATTGTGCAAACTTACATTTCTGAAGTTATCTTCAGAGAATGATGATGACACAAGCCATTTTTTCATCTTTCCGTCCTCAAACACTCATTTTCAGGAAGTAATTTTAAATGGAAAATCCCAAAACATTCAGTTAGATCACCTTGAAATAGTTAACCTTTCAACACCATTTTATGAATAGCTCTGCGTTAACTTTTTGTCCACTTGACTAAATATTTTATGTCTGAACATTTGGGGAACATCTTACCAAATTTTGTATTGTTTCCTCTGAGAACAAACAGAAACAGTATCTGTTGGAAAATGTTCAGATTCCTCTCTTTTAATTGCCACACGTCAAAATCAATAGCCTTTTCAAAAGGGAAAAATAAACCTAAGTCAATTTTTCAACGTACATAATCAGACAACTGCAAAACAAACTGTTTCAGGCCTAATATCTTCTTCCACAGAAGTATTCAGAAGTGTATCCAGATCATTTGTGGCAAAGTGTGGGCAGAAAAACATGGTGGCGATTAATCACCAGGCACCTATGATACAGAGCCTATATCATGCTTAAACTTGTCAGAAGTGACATTTCTATGGCAAAACTGAAAGGCAGTAAAAGAAAGACTCCTTACTATTTTTACTATACTGAATGATAGAAATCAAGTGGATGTGGAAGGACTTAGTGCATAACATTCTTATAAAAGCAATTTTGGTCTTACAGTAGCTATTAGAAAAATGAAATGAATTATATTTTTCCTTTTTTAGTTAAGGAGGTTGGACAAGTTGGAATTGTACAGAGTATCCTTCTACATTTCACACGTACTCGATCAGGTTACTTTGTACCTATGGTGAAGGGAGGAGTTAACAAGGAAATCAGAGTCTGTGCAATCCCAGAAATGAAATGTAATCGGCTATGACTCAAGAGTAACAACATATATTAGGAAAGAACGGGTAAAAGGAGCAGCTGTTGACATTATTACCTGAGCCAAACCTTTTAAGGTGTCAGTGAATAGCAGTCTGTACTTTCCCTTGAAAGCACTACAAGAATTGCTTGGATGATGTCCCTCAAGAGTTTAGGAGTTTAACAAAATCCACAACTTCCTCTCCAAATCTCCATACCATGCTTTTAAATCTGTACCAGAGTGATCAGAGATGCTTCAACACAGAGCATAACAAATACAAATGGCATTACTTAGAAGGGCGTTTTAATGTACATACAAATACTAAAACTTTATGTCAAACTCCCAGGATCATTTGCAGGCAAGAAAATGACAACAGATAATACCATTTTATGAATCTGATCCAGCTCTACCATACAAGACAGATGCCAAAAATAAAAGCTTTTTTCCTTTCAGGAAAAAAAAACCTTAAATGTACAACTTCAGCAAGCTTCCAAGCTATCTCACTGACACACAAGTCAGATTCTTCTGTCATGTGCACGTAGCTTCAAAAATTAAAAGAGCACGTGGATTTTAACTGAATTTCTCAATCCCATGAGACGTTATTTTCTTTCTCCTCCAACATTTCAGGATTTTCCCCAAAAGATAGGAAAGAGAATGGGACACAAAAGCCATTTCTATTCAGTCGTCTTTGTGCAAGGTATCCTGGAAAAGGCTGCATTCTTGTGTAAAGTTGCTGTTGAAACAGAAAGGAGATTATTTTAAAATGTGTGCAAATACATGACAGCACTTAGGCTTATGTTTTTGAGAATTAATACAGAAGAAAGAAATTTGGAAGTTACCTGCATGCAAGTATTTTTGCTAACAATACACAGTGCCTTTAAGTAAAAAAAGAATCAAAATGCTTTTATAGACAAGAAAAGTGTTCCCTTAATTTTGATTCCAGCTAGTTATGCCTTCTTTCTCTTAACACAGATAAAAATAATGAACTGAGAGTAATTAAATAGCCTAGAGTGATCCACAATATCTGAATAACTAGCCAGTAATTGTATTTCTATTAAGTTTCATATCTGCTTGTAGCGTAAAAGCTGAAAGTATAGTTCTGCAGATTAAAAGCAAGAAGCAGCAGCAGCCAGGCACTGGAATAAAACAAAAAGGAATTTTCACAAAGTCTGGATAAAAACATGTGCATCTAAAAGAGATGGATAATCATTTTATACTGAACAATGAGAAAATTGTAGCAATCTTTTTATGATCTAAACATGATTACCTGCTTGAACAATCTACTTTTCTTGATGGAGGGCTTCTATGAAAGCTTCAAGTTTTTCCTGGATTTCCCGAACTTTTTCTGGAGGAATTAAAAAGATCACTGTTGAAATACCTACTACTTAATTGAGGACATGTCCAGAAAGAAAAAAAAAAACCAAACAAAACCAAAACCCCCAAAACAAACCAACCTGCAAACATGAACAAAAACTAATGCTGTTGTCAATATTACCCCATGCATTTATTTTCTTAATTACTAAGATTTAGAACATTTTTCTACATCAGAAGAAATGAAACCCTGTCCTCATATGAAGAACTTCTACGAACATATTTTATGATTATCATGCTAATTTAATAATTCAAAAATTTACCAAAGCAATCCAATACTAGAAACATATTTCAAAAAAAAGAAATTTCTAGATCATGCACAGCAGAACTACTGTACACCTGTTACATGTAGGGAGTTGTTATGTTTTAAATAATGCCCACTAACCCCTTTCTCTTTTAACCAAATATCCTTATTCTCCACAGCAAGTGTCACAAACACTACTAATCATTCTAAAAAGAGTTGAAAGCCAGTGCCCTTTCAACAGGGAGAATTTCAGGGAACCAAACGTCAGTATTCAAGACACCTATTCAAAAGGGCATGCACAATGTTAAGAATGTTTAAAACTTGCACTTGATTTCCTTGCATTTCAGTAGTAACCAGATGGATGTGGGCAGAATCTTATTTTGTATAAATACTAAAGCTGGGAGTTTATTTCTCTACAAAAACACGACTTGAACACAACTACAAATAGTTAGTAAGAATGAAAAGGCAACACTGATTCGGAAAAATTCAGGGGTTTAGGCATTTTTCCACTCTTTTCTCAATTCCATACAACACTTGTCATCGTATAACCTATTTGATTCATTAAATTGCTTATGAAGCAAGATTTAGAATGTTGCTGGAATCCAAAGCCTGCGAGATTTCCTGCTTCTCTCTCACCACATCCTCATTTGAAGCTCCTTCTGTGTGTGATTATAGCCATGAAAAACACACACTTCAGAAACATGAAGGAACAGGGGGAGAGCAGTAGGACAGACAAAAATAAGTTAGATGAGCATAAACACAGACACTTTTTTTTTTTCAAGCTAAAAATACTATTGGATTAAAGCCGTATGTTCCCCTGTATGAGACACCAAGGTTTGAGCTTTTTTTTTTTTTAAAAATCTTTTATTAATGTTTTCTTCTTTTTAGCAATACCATATGTTATAAACTTGCTTTGCTGAGCTGAAATAGCAGCAAAACAGAAAGAAAAATAAAACAATCAGCCTTTAAAGGGATACATAAGCCTGAGTGGGGAAAAAAAAAAAAAAGACCTCCAAAGAGAATGCTCTAAGAATGTAGCTAAGAGAACTAAAAGTTTCATCCAGTAACAAAGTGACAATCCCACAGAAAGTAGAGATCCATTTTAGAGTAATTATAAATGATATTGATAATAATAATAAAAACTCAAGAAAACCCTGTAGTCCTGTTCTAACAGAAGTAGAGAATTTTACTTAGCATTTGAAATAAAATATGGAAAATAGCCTGCATGAGGATGAAGAAATCTCAAACTAGTATCTTTATCACGCAATTCTTAGATGATGAAGGGCAAGCCACTTATACTTTCAACACTTCAGTGTCCCCTTCCCCAATGGTGTGCTTATCTGCAAACACAGATGTACAGCGAGGCTGAATCACACTCTGGGTCCTAAAGAAAACACCAAAGAACCTTCTTGAATTTCAGCTGATTTTGTTTTTTTTAAAGTACTTTGATATTAAATGAAGATTACAGTCAGCGTGAGGACAAAAGCTGTATCTTGGAAGTTAAGAAACAGCAGTAGCTGATTTTTACCGGGGGTGGTGGTGGTGGGTGGAATAGGGGGGAAAAAAAAAAAAAAAAAATCCTCGATTCAGTTCAGGAGAGAGAATCTTTGAAAGCTGCCAATGGGGCGGGGGGGGGGGGGATTACTATCTTTTTAAATAAAAAAAAGAATATGTATTGCTTGCATGTCAGTATATAAACCTCTTGTGTAATGAAAACATTAATTCTATGGCATTTATTTAGGAAAATATTTAGCTTGGCTTCCAATACTGATGCTCTATGCATGTTTACAAAATTAGCCTTTGAAATAATGTCCTATTATCTTGGACAGAGTTGACATATTTTTGGAAACTATTAATCCTGGACCTCACTCTCCAAAATGAGCAGCAGTTGCCAGTGATAACTGGAGATTAGATCTCACGACCCAGATGATCTCCTCATGTTGTGCTTTCAATAGCTTTATTTTTGATGTATTTTTTTTTTAATTGCTACATGCTTTCCCCAAGTATGTTCTTTATATTGATCAAGCCATTAGACTCAGTGAAAGCAGGCAGATTTAGCAGTATTAAATGCAAGTATTTTCCCTTTTCAACCTCTTGCTAATGAAATATTCCAGTCCTGAAAATTAATAGCATCAGCAAGGATCTATAATTATTATTTCACCCTTAAAAAAAGGTTTGTGCCAACAAAATGTATTTTAATTTTCTGATTAGGGCATGTTAAAATAACAGGATAGCAAATATGTATTCCACCAGAATATACTGAATCAGCTGTGTTTGCTCAGAGAACAGACATACTAAAATTGCCTCCATATTACGAGCACTTTATTAGTTTTTATACTTGGACTGAACTGAAATGATTGCTTAACTGTAATAATTATGAGGTCTTGAGGTAATTTAATACTTTGAAAAAACATGCTGGCTATTCTTAAAAAAGAACAGTTACAATGACTGCCAAATAGCTGCAATTATTCATGCTATGCCCTGTATTCTTAGCGGTAGTAAAGCCTTTTGCAGCAGCAGACCCCAGCCAACCTGTAACATTTTCCCACAAGTCCATTCTGTAGCACAGAGAAGCAGTCTGCTAAAGTGGTTTACTTTTTAAATAGGCTAATGGCAGAGTTATGCATTTACACAACACACATCTTAATAAACCAGTAAATATAAATGCTCGGGCAGAACTCTTCTAACGAGTGCAAGTGCAGGGTCTGCAATTCTGGGACAACTGCCCATAGTTTCATCAGCACCACATGACATTGAATTTGGAACAACAATTAATTGTTACAATTCAAGAGTCAGATGTTACCCATCTTTATTTGGGGAATTTCTCTCCTCTGTGAAATGCACAAGCTGTATACCCACATTTGCAGGGTTTTGATCAACACCTAGATCAAAATATTAGTGACTTACACTTGTAAATTATAGTACATTTTGTTTTGAGGAAGGTTTATCAACATGCCAAACCTAGAACATCATTTGGGTTTCAGATAAGAATACTTACATAGTAAGTAAATTAAGGGATAGACAAAGGTGACCTGTTACTCTTTCTAGGTTTTGTGATACTGTGTTTTTCCATGTACAAGTAAGCCACAGATTAAAAGCATTCAGATTGGTAGCAAATTATTTTTGTAACAGGTTGAACTAGCCCCGCACTGTTATACAATGCTCCAATGTCACAGAAGGCTGTTAAAGTACTACACTCTTATTATACAGTATCACAGAAGTTTAAATATATATGATTGCTTACGCTAGATACTAGAAAGACGACGTGGTCTTTGGTAGTTTTAATGCAGACCTGAAGTTACAAATACACAATTCTTCCAGCACCTGTTAAACAGTGATCAAAAATCAGATGAAATCAATGAAGAATAACTGTAACTAAACCCTTGTTTCCATCTTTAGAACAGTAAAATTCACAGGCCTAGGGGCAATGAATGGCTATTCTACTTCTCATTTACCCCGTGTTTACCTAAAAGATAAGCTGGTTCATACATCAACTCATTATGCCTCTTGATCTGATCATGAATATTCCCATAATCCTCCCTCCATATCCCATAAAACTTCACTGACAGAATGAGGAAATTCTTTATTCAGACGTCTTGAGATCCTCATTCATGCTCAGTCTCCTCTTATCTCCACATGAAATGATACTGCTACCCACTCATTTTCTTTTCATTAATCCTGTGATCCTAAATCTAAAAGGCTCAAAACCGGACTAATTGATCTGTAATAAGGATTTGGATACACTGTGAACACAGAAAGACGCAGCCACAGATAAAGTTTGCTTTTCCTAATATCATAAGCTGGTCAGAAGGGAAACCCCTGAAATATTCAGTCTTAAAAGGAGTGCTTGCTTACTGATTGCTGCCTTAGATAGCCAAGCTTATCTACTAATTAACAGTGCAGAAGCTGGGGAATCACTGCTAAAATGAAACAGCTAAAGTAAGTATCAAATGAATCTCCTGAGGTAAGGCCAAAAAATCTCAAAATAATATTAAACACAAATTACAAAAACAAAGTACATAATTGATTTATTTCAGCCATGCTCTAAGTAGCAAGAAAAAATTTTCTAGATTTTTTCCAGCTGCATTTATTGGTTTAACAGAAGATGTGGCCTCTGCCCACAAAACCTGTCTTGCTTATGCTTCTGAAGATAAATGAATTTTGAGACATTCAAATCATACATACTCACCTGCAAAAACCCAATGGTTTTAGCACAGAATTTTAAAGATGTTCATGTCTGTCTGTGCCACAACAGGGAGAAAACTGCATGAGTATTTTAGGCAAATCAAAAAGCTTTTCCTTCCCCTGTTTACAAGTTTGCCCATATGACATCAATTTTCAGTTGCAGCATCAAAAAAAATTGTACAATCTTTCTGGACACAGATCCATCTTTATTTTGTACTTTGACGAAACTTATAGCATGAAACCACCATGATAAAACCGTGTTAATACCTCATAATAAATCCTCCTGTTCTACCTTAAAGTGATTTTTACCTCCAACTACTGTTTACATAGCTTTGATATTTGAAAGCTTATGGTTGTTACTCCTTTTACTCTGGATTCTGCTTAGACTTTAGCCCCCTACTTTTTTTTTTTCTTTTTAATCTTCCTTCCTTTCTTAATCCCTTCCTTGCCTATAAACATTCTCACTGCTTGCTGTGCTACTTCTATGTTATGGTTAATTAACCATAGAGGCAGAAATGTTGAATTTACTGCTGTGAATGCATCAT